ACAAGGGCTATCTGTGGTCTGCCCACCACGGGTATCAAAACTCGGATTTTAGCGTTGTATGTCCGCAGACATACCGCTGTGCCACTGGGGGGGGGCGGGCTTAACTATATATATATATATATATGACTCAAAATCTCTCTGTTTGTTTGCTTGCTTGTTTTCCACCGTGATCACTGTGCAGATCACGTGAAGGTGCGCAAAACGGTAATTTTTCGTTGATATACGCGTCTATCGTCTGCATTATATCACATGAATATATTCTACACAGACTTGGTATTTTTTGGTAAGTTTGAGGTAACATTTAATTTAGAAAATATCATTATAGACCTATTTAGTTATAGATCATTAACTACACATCTACTAATGCATCATATATTTAACCTCACACACAAAAGAAACGTATGCGGAATTAGAATGTCGTGTGCGAAAAAAACAAACAGTAGCACTAGCCTATAAAATAAAATTCTACCGTCTGCCATAAAATAGAATACGTGAAAAAGAGTAAGACTTAAATTATATTTATAATACTTATTGTGTATAATGAAATTAAAGTCAAGTCAGCATAACTTGTAGAGCACTTGCATGAGGTGGAAGATGGGTTGAACCTGGAATTGTATTTTGTTATATTAGCATTAGAATAGATAGGCCTATTTAGTTATAGACTGTTAATTATACATCTACTAATACATCATATATTTAACCTCACACACAAAATATATGTATGCAAATTTAGAATATTGTGTGTGAAAAAGCTTGATGTATGAAGTATACTGCAAACAAAATGCAATATTGTATTTTATAATGTGTGAAAAGAAAAAAATCTACTTCCAGGTATCGAACCACTCGGAGAAAAAACAAGTAAAATAAAACACATTAGCTGACTTGACTTTAATCTCATTTTACACTATAAGTATTATAATGTAAGCCTTACTATTTTCACGTAGTCTATTTATGGTAGACAGCATAATTTTATTTTATAGGCTAGGACTACTTTTTTGGCATAATGTGGATACGGTATCACATTCATAAAAATATATTAAATTTACATTAAAGCAAATTGAACATAATATTGCATACATATTTACGTTTGATTGTTTGTAGTTAAGCACAAAGCTACACCAAGGGCTATCTGTGCTCTGCCCACCACGGGTATCGAAACCCGATTTCTATATTTACGTTTGAAAAATTAATATTTGAGGAGGGATGACGGGGGATAGGGGAAATAGAGCTAGGCTTATCCTGTTTGCCAGAACGGGTTCTCATACGTGTATAAGATAACCTAAATATTCTCCATAAGGGCCTAATTATTCTTGCCAGTGAAGGAAAAACAAACAACATCGTTCATAAGGAAGCCCTGATTTAAAAGAGGTTCGTAGTTTATTTTCAAAAATCAAACCTAAGGTTGGTGTTTTTTTCATAAATTCACAAAATATTTTTATCTATAGAAATATGAAACGGGGAAACAGAGAGAG